AAAAAAAAATAAATGAAAGTCGAAATAAAATTGTAAAAACTAATCAAGAAAATACAATTGCACAAGAAAACCTTGTATATTTTATTTTTAATGCTATTCTGGAAGACTATAATTCTGATTATTTATTTGAGCAAAAAGTTTTTATAATTTTGTATCTACCAGTTAGCTGTGATAGCTTCATAAATTCCAGTTGCATAGTTCCAATTTGAGCCAATATACTTATCCTACTACCACAACGACTAAATAATCAGCAGAGAGGTCCATAAAGTTCGTGACTTTTTTTATTTAAGCTCCTGCAGTTGATAAAGTTAGTATTTGTTACGTGATAATACATAACAAATACTCTTATTAACAAATAAGCAAACTATGTGAGATTCCATGCGTTATATAGCAACCCAGTGGGACTATTGAAAGAAGGTAACAAAGCATTGCCCAATTCTTGTGCTTTTTCCAGAAATATAAGTTCCTTTGACAATTCATACGCACTTAATAATCCGCCAAGATAATGAATTATAGTCTCAAAAACGTTGATAATTTCATCACTTTTTGTAAAGTCTACAGATCGAACAAAATTCCTTGAATGTTTAAATTCTTTTTTTAAATCCATAATCCACATTGTATCTAATGCATCACTTATAGTTGCTCCCCATCTGTTAAAATTATTTCTAGAACGCAACAAAAAAAATTATTGGAGGAAACATAATGAATCCAAATAATAACAAATGGCTCAATAGTATTAATAAAAACTTAAAGCAATTGCATAAATTGGAAGAGGATTATGATCATTTTTAAAAGGCCAAATATTTATAAAAACCGTACTCACAATACTTTTCTAGCTGTAATAAATATTAAGTTTATTGAGTTTATTCGAAATAAACAAAGTTGCTTATCGTTATTATTTTGTTAGTCTATAAATTTTTTTCATTTGTATTTTTTGTTCAAGTTACATGAATTACATGAATTTTGGTGCTTAATATATTTGCAGCATGATGTTTGAAACTTTTCTGAATGGCGATTTACCCAGTCCGTTGAACCTAACTTGGATTCGATTCGATTCTGGTCATTGCGCCTAAAATTTGGATCAGAGTGAACTGAGCTGGACTTTTCAAAAATTTAGTAGAGTAATGCTTGAAAGGTTTTCACTTCATCCCTTCAGCTCAATCGAAACTTTTTCAGTAAATTGATATGTGTTGATATTTGGTTTTCTAAAATAATTTATAAAAATACTATATTAAAACTTATAATATGCATATTTAAAAACCTTATTACTGTAATTTATTCAACTAGACCTTCTACAGTCAAATCTCACTAAGTGCACATCTTTGAGATATACTTTAACTTAATTATTTCATTCAAAATTTGATTTAAACATAATATTTTTATTTAGGTTACCTTCTTTATTTGTTTGTTAGCCTTAATTTATGTTCTCTTTCATTTTAATACTATCGATATGAGATGTTAACTGATATTTGCGGCGAGCCTATCTCTTTTCTGACTCTATTTGTTTGGGTATGTAAATTTTTTTTTGCTTTTTCATTTTGACAAAACTAAAAAGAGAATGATTCTTTTATTTATTTAATTTCACTAATAAACAATTCTTTTTTGTAATTAAAAGTTAGTTACCGAGAACCGGTACATAGCAACATTTAAACCCTACTTAATATTTAATAATTTTAATGAATTAATTGATGCAGGGCAACAATTAAACACTGATTAATATTTAATAATTTTACCAAATTAATTGATGCAGAGTGCCTGCTTAATATTTAATAAGTTTAATGAATTAATAAATTAATCTTTTTATTGTTTAATAAGTACGCTAGGGATGTAATGAAAACCTACCTTCTTAAAACAATAGACATTGATGTATCAATAAGTTGACATATGGGTTATATTTTGTTTTCTAAAATAATTTATTACATTGTAAATTTAATTATTTCATTCAAAATTTAATTTAAACTTAATATTTTTATTTAGGCTACTTCTTCATTTGTTTGTTAGCCTTAATTTATGTTCTCTTTCGTTTTAATACTATCGATATGAGATGTTAACTGATGTTTGTGGTGAGTCTATCTCTTTTCTGACTCACTTTTTCGGCTGTTCATAATATTAGGCTGGCTTCATCATCCCACCCATCCCACCCAAAAAGTAAAAAGTATACTATCTTAATTAAAGAACATTCCATATAAATTAGATCTGCTTAGTCAGTGCAATGACCACCTAATCAATGGTTTAAATATCTTATACCAATAAGCATTGGCTGATGTAAGTCTCTATGGTTGAATAGCAGTACAAGCATATTAACGAATTGATATAGAATCTGTTTAATATGATTGTGCAATGATGCCCGATCAACATTTTACCTTTTAGTCTGCTTAATATGATCGTGGCTCTGTGACTAAAGCAATGCAATGACCACTTGATTGATAGTTAACTTATGCCGAGACAAATTTATCATTATGGGTCGAGGCTATCTTAATGTTAATGCTGCTCAGTTAAATAGTTAATGCGGTTAGATAATTAATATTTAAGGAAATTTTAGGCGGTTCAAATCCCCAGTACAAGGATCTGATAGCAGCTCAATGATGACTCATCAGAGATTCTTGAATTTAGTTAGTATAAGTACATTATCAAGAACCTTAATTGCAGCTCAATGATCTTATGAATTAGAGTTTGTTTAGTATAATTGTGGCTTAGTGACTAAAAGCAATTCAATGACCACTGATCAATGGTTTAAGCAAATGATGCCGATGGAAATTGGTATATGTAAAGCTCTATGGCTGCATAGCAGTACAAGGACCTTAATTAATACATGACATAGAGTTACTTCGTGTAAGTATTTTATGCTTATAGGCATTAGTAGATGTATGGCTTTACGACTACATAGCAATGCAAGGATTTTAATTGCAGCCCAATGACTTTATGAACTAGAGTTTTCTTAGTATGATCGTGGTTCAGTAGCTGAATGTAATAGCTCAATAGTCACCAAAATCAATGGCTTAAGCATATGATGCAAATAGGCATTCAAAGACCTTAATGAATATATATATAAAGCTGCTTAGTAGATTAGTTAATGATCACAGATCAATGTTTTAATTTAGGGGAATGGGTTTTTCTCAGGCAAAATAGCATGATTTTAGCTGGTTCAATATTTGTCTGGGTTTTTCTATCCTGCCCCACCCAACCTGTCAGATAATTTAGTATATATAGCCTGATAAGATA